CTGGCTTTACAACTCTATGTGGATCCTAGCCTTCTCAAGAATTTCTCTCCAGTTGTTGAACCTTGTTCTGGGTCTTCCTCTTCATCTATGACCAATGGGTCTATCAAGGAGGGTTTTCCTAGCTGGGTCAGTTTGTTGGATCCGCGTTACATACCCTATCCACTTCGGACGTTCTATTTAATGTATTTTATGATATCTCTGGTTCTTGGTATCATATCCATTCCACTGTCATTCACCGGTGTTAGAGCATTCAACGATATCTCCTTTTTTGTGTATGGTGCAAAATAGTCCAACCAGTTCTTCTTCATATGTTAGGCCTTAAGGTCTGCTGTTTCCGGTCTGATTTAGCAGTATTTGCTATGTTGACTTCCAGCTATATCTCTTATCTTTCCATCTCTTACTATTCGGGAAAGTTTCTCTCTTCCCATTCTGTTAATGTGTTGGTTCCATTCTCGTCTTCTTTGGTGTCCCATCTGACGATAACATGTACTTTACCCATGTCTCTGATTTGTGTATTAGGGATTCTGTCTCTTAAAGTCCTGCAATCGCCCTCAGTGAGTTCATCTCAGTTGTTCTTAAGATTTTCTTTGTAATTGTTGTTTCTGCTCTTGTTTCTATAGCATAGGTTAATATCGGTCCTACACAAGTCGTATATGCGTGTTTTTCCTTATATCCTTATGTTCTTATTTCTCCATATTGTCTCTACGTCTCGTAGATGCTGCTTTATTAGCTTGTATGTATGCCAGTTCCTTCGCAGATGTTTCCATCTCACTTTGCATCTCACTGTAGGTCATCTTCATATGTCATCTTCGTACGTCATGTTCATATGTATTATTCTTTTGGAGATATAACAGCACTTATATATGTTGTTTTTATATTTTTTATGGACAAGTATACCTACGCCTGCCCGTGCTCGTTCTTCTTTCTTCACTCCATTGTATGCTAGAAAATATTTCTTATAATATCTTTGGCCTTTACCTTTCTTCTTGGTTTTTTGGATTGCTCAAATGTCTATGTTTTAATTATCAGTTGTTCTATATATCTTGGTCTTTGTTCTTGAAATAAGTAATGTTTCATGTTGCTAATCTGATTGTGGGCTTATTTTTCCTTCTCGTTTTTCTTTTCTTTGAGTGGTTCGTCATCTTAGATTCCTTCTGGTTCCGAAGCCTTATATCGATTCTTTTAGCCTTCTTTTCTTTTATAATGGGTAGGATACTAACTTGGCTCATCAACCCTGCACTTTTATCCGGGCTTGAGACCGGCTGTGGGCATGAACGCAGCTTCTGAGCTGCGTACTGCGAACGAAGTCAGTACAGTCTTTCAGATCGGCCAATAAGAAAAAAACCTGGTTTTGTAAAAGAACAACTCCTCTTTTTTCCGGGACAATTCTGCCGACCACTAGGACACTGTGACGATGAAAAATTTTAAAAACATGGTAAATAAATTATTAGAAATACCCCACTAACTTTATTTCTAAATCTTAAAAAATTTGGGCACTTTAAAAAAAAACGAATATAAGTAATTCTACAGTACATGAAATGAACTTTTTTTTCGTATATTCATTATGAAATGGGTGATTAAATCGAAACAACAATTTTGTAGACTGTTTTTTTTTTGAAGACCTCCTGTACTAAAATGAACCAAAATTTGCATTTTACTAAAACAAATTACCTACCTCTTCAGACAGCAAAAGACATCGACTGATTCCATAAATACATTTGTTTCTATTTATAGTCTCTGATATAACATATTTTGGCGCTAACACTTATATAAGTGGCATTGTTAAATTCTGAGCAGCTAGAGTAAACACTGAAAAAGAAATCGTTTATGATCAATATTCCTATTGTGTACTGACGAATGGATTGTCAGTTACATACTTTACATGGTCGTAATGTAACGTTTGAAGAATTTAAAACAGTTTCTGTTTATTAGAAGTTCATAGAAAGTGAAACTGTTCGAAGTAATACACATTGAAGATATGTGATAGTTTTAACTTACTTGTTATTATGTAATAAACGGGTCTTATATAATATTTTGGGAGGAAAAAATGGTATAATAATCGTAATGCTCGTGATAACTAGGTGGCCTGATTCAGAGATGGCGCAAATTTGAAAAAAATCTCTTTAAATTGGGTAGAATTTATTTTTTGATTGATTAAAAAATATGGTAGTACAACAGAGCTATGTGTAAAATAATTTATTTTTGTCAGTACGCGTAAGGTATGTTTTATTATTAAAAAAAAAAGATGAATGATTATCTCTTGCACTTAACTCTTTATAAATATAGCGTCGGTGCATGATCTTCCCGACTTAAAACCTTGTTTTTCTCTGCTATAATAGTGTTATAATTTCATTATAAAACTTTTTATAGCAGATTATATTATTATATAAATTAATTCCTCTCTAATTTTCCGGGACCGATTTGTCTCTCTTTTTGAAGAGAGATGTTGGGATGCTTGATCTTCATTCTTGATGAATTCTGTTTTGTTCTTTTTTTTATTAGTTTTAATAGTTGTTTGGTCAGATCTAGTCCCCCGTACTGTACTTCCTTTACCTCTTCCTCATCATTATTTATTTCTTCGTTTGTCGTTGTAACGATAATATTTTGCCTACCACAGGGGCATTAATATAAGGTAGAAAATTGGGGGAAGAAACTATTGGGGGTGGAGATAGGGCAAGCAAAATAATCGCTACTTGTGCGAACGGACACTCAGGGTTTCGTAGGAGAGCTGGGGTCGTGGATAAGTAAAATGGGGGTTAGAATGGGGCAACTACAACAAAAAGAAATAAAGGGCTTTTAGGATAAACAAAATAAAAATAAAAAAGAAAACACCTCAAGAAATTTGATTATAGGGCGCCACTTGAGGTGCCCAATTATGCCTATTACAACCACTAGTTGTAACTAGGGAAATAATTAGAAAACAAAACAAAACATATCTTTTTCAAATAAAAATCAATAAAGGTTAGCTCAAAAAAATAAATAAAAAGTTAAGACAACAAAATTTAACCTTTATTTATGTCACCACAAACAGTTATAAGGAGGAATACAAAAATATTCAACAGTCACAAAATACACAAATATCAAAACTTATGGTTATGTATTAATGTCGAGAAAGGATAATACTAACTGTCATATATCGAAATGAAATATTAAACCTTTTTGAAACATTAATTTTAATTATAGCAGTCAACTTTATTTAAAAGAAAACTAATAGGACAATTAGCTAATCCATAAAATTTATAATTTCATTTATTTACAATTTTTTAGTTTGTCATCAAAGCAAATTTTTTTATTATTGAAAAATTATTTATTTTTACTTTGAAAAGTAATTTTTAATTTTAAAAGTACCTGGTATCACTGACTGATGTATTTCCTTTAAGAAAATTTTGGAATCGGAATTGAACCAAAACACTGCAAAATATACAACTGTGTCCCACTTAAGCTGCAATTCAGTCTGAAGTGACTTATGAACACAAATAGACAATTCTTTGGAAGTTGGCCACTGGAATCGGCTTCGGATCATCCTGAATGACAAAAAACTGCAATCTTCAAAACTCGCCCACTCAATTTCCTCCCAAAATCATGTGAACTTCTTAAACGGCTGGAAACGCCGTTTTACAAATCTCTCAGATAAAACACAGCACGAACAAATCGGTGGTTAACTCAACAAAAAAACTGCCAGATCGCATTTTGAGTAAAAATTCACTTTTCAAATTGAAAAAAAAAACGGCTTGGAAGACTACACCCGCAAGCTATTCCGAATCTCAATTCCAAAACTTGACTGTTTTCTTTGTCTCGGTTTACTCCACACTGCTACTATTTACACATTTTTCCATAACAAAAATGCAATAACGAATTAAAAGAAAATCCGGACTAAACAATGAAACCGACTGACTTTGGCAGCGATTCCACCGAGAGTGACGAAATTAAAAATTTGTTCGCTTAACTTGAAAATCAACGAACTGCTGAAATAGCAAAAACAAAGAACGACGTAGATATCCTTTGAGACGCATTTACATGAAAAGAAATCGCCGCAGTAAAATAAACAACAATTAAATGGATTTATTACTCTACGACGTTAGAATGATTGAAAACACTTTTCGAAAGATACGAACTAAAAAACAGAAAACATTCTTCGTTTTATTAAGACGATTTCATATACGAGGCGACTTTAAATATACTTCAAAGAATCAATCAAATTTAAAATGCTACATCGTCTCCTCTGGTGTTGGTGGTTCATCATCGTCACCTTTAGCAAATAGGAATCGAAAGTAATCTGTCCATGTTTCCTTCTGAATGTGTTTAGTTTTTATTAGTTCGTTTATCTCTTTTCTTTGTCTTCTGATCTTTCTCCATATCTCTTTTTGTGTTCCGTAGTATTATGTTGTCTTTGTTGTGTTCTGTATTTCAAAAAGGCTTTCTTTTTTTTTCACAGTTTGTTTTCGTTTCCTCTCCAAATCATGGGGTTTTCTTTTTTGATATGTTAGTGTTCGTTATTTTCCTCTCTCCAAGTGATTCTATTATGTTATGTTGCAGTTTTTTCTAGCTTTTCTCGATGATTTCATCGTTTTCTAATATTTCATTTCCAACCATCTTCTGTGAAATTCTTTTTCTGTATAACTATTCCGTGGATTCCGTATTTAGTCCTTCGACATTTTTTTTTGTGTTGACGTTGCTCTCTTGGGTGTGAAATGTTTCAGAATTATTCTTATTTTGTATAATGCTAGGCTATAGTAAAGGAATAAATAAATCAAATAAATAAATAAATAAATAATAGCTTTATTACCCAACAGTTTCCCATTTCTAGGGTAAAAATTTAAGATACATTTTTAATTAGTATACAATCAGTAGGTGATACAAAAATATCAAGTACAAAAATAAGTATATAAAATAAGTAGGTGTAATACAAATAAGTAATTAATCTGTTGCATCCAGACCTACATATCAACTATGTTAAACTGTTTTGCCTTCATTTTTTTAAACTATGTTTTTTGTTACAGGAGACTAGTCAAAAGTTATCAGCCTAAGAAAAAGGACGAAGATGATTACCAGTAAGTCCATTTTAAGATTTTTTCTATTTTTATAAATTGATGTTTGGTAGTAAAGTTGTATCATCATATACTCAAGAAGAATTATCTTCTACATTTCTTATCATTTAAGCATCGCTGTCCACGCATTCAATTCTTGATCTTGGGGAGCGTAAAGAAGTCGTTGAGACTTAGGTCTGGGCTATATGGCGGATGGTTTAACAATTCGATGTTTTGATGCTTCACAAACTTCTGGGCAGTGTAAGCACTTGCAATGTCATGATGTTGGATGATTCACCGTTGTGTGTTGCTTTGTTGGAGTTTCGCGATAACTTCTGGTAAACAAAGGGTTATATACCATTCAGAACTACCCGTTCTTCGATCTTCTAAAGCAATTGTTGCCACAAGACCAGATTTTGACACAAAAAGTTGCGACCATTTTCTTTGACACACTTCTAGAACGAACCATTTTGTTGGTTTTTCCTCATCGTAATTGGCGTTTATTTTCCGGTTCGTAGGAGTAAATCCAAGATTCATCGCTACTAACAATACAATAAACGTTTTTTGAGCTTCCTTTGTTGAACAGTTCCAATGTTTTTCTACACCAATTGATGAGAAATGAGGGAACACCCTGTTATTCATGTAGGATCTTTGGGATCAAGGTTTTTGAAATGCCCAAAGATGCCTTTATCTCCCGGTATGTTACACGGCAGTCATCCTTAATTAGCTGATGAACCGCATCAATGTTTTGCTGTGTGACTGCTGTTTAGGCTGGATTTGTCGCTGAGACTGGAGCGACCACATTGAAATTCGCAATACCAGCGGGAAATAGTTGACTGGTGTGATGTTTCATTCCCAAGCCCAGAAACCGTTTAAGCGAGACATTGCTGTTGAGATAATTCTCCGAAAATTGTAAAAAATTATTGCTCGAAAAATCCATTTTTCGACCGATTTGTAATTTCAAAAATTCACTGTATCTACACGACTTGTTGTATCGCAATGAAACTTTCGATTTATATCAACAAAAGATGGAGGTTACATTTATATTTTGGAGATGGAGGTTACATAAAACGTAAGGTTTTATGGGTGGCGCCCTCTAAGCGACTATATACAAAACTAAGACTACAAATTTCGTAAAACATTTAAAAAGATTGATGTTCCAGTTTCTGAACTTTATTATCTTATTGTATTATGAGCTCAAAAAGGGAATTATGTCAGGAAATATAGTTATATGTTTGCTTTCATCATTACCAATAGCGATACAACCCTTCCTGAGTCTCTGCCGCGTTTACTATTATCGGTCCCCTGTCACTTTTAAAGCTATGAGGATCACTCTTTAAGAAATAATTATCTTTTTAAATATAATGATAGTGCTTATATTCCCCTTTCAATCTACTCCATTTGCTATCATTAAATATGTATAAGGTGTATAAAATTATTCTTAATTTTATTAAAATGTGTAATTTAAAACTTTTTTTACCTATACTTTCCGTGGTCCACCCTTCTGTCTGTGAGTGACCTTGAACGACCTCTAAGTGCGAAAAGTAATCCTAGTTCTTCTTTTATTTTCCAGAATAGTGGTGTAGTTAGTTTAGTTCAAATAGGTTAAAGTAGATGAGCATTTGCCGCTGGCTGGACAGGCACTTAAGCCCGAATTTTTAATACAGAATTAATTATCTCTGTAAAAAATAATCCAAATGCTTATTGCATATTGATAATTGCACAAACTATGTACTTTTTTGCCAACAACTCAAAATCTTCGATTACTTTACTATCGTTATGAAATGGCCGGGTAGAGCGTCCAATCGATTCGTCATAATCGTGCCGATCGATCGTGGTGTAAACAAATAATAACCGTTTACGTGATCCCATAAAAGAAAACTGAAATAAGCAAAGATATAACAACCTTGACAAGCATTTCTCATTGTTAGACGGAATTTTTGTGTTGTGAGTAATTCCGTATTTTTGAAACGTGACATATCTTTGTTATCTCTGTTTAAAATATTTGTATGTCTGCTTTGGTTCTAAAGAAATGATAATATTATGTCCGGAAATGTAGTATATGGATGCACTAGGTGACGATGTGAGATTGTGGTTCAACAAAAGACAATTGTGATAAATATTATTTTACTTCTTCACTTTCAACGATAGTAGAAAAATACGCTACTTTAGCATTCAGGTCACATCTTTTAGGTTAGGACAATTCTTCCTTTCATTAATTTTATTCTATTTTTAGTTTCATCTGTTATGCTATTATGGATATTAAAAAAAAGATAATTTTAGCAGAAAAGGATACTTCCGTCTTAAATGTCGTTTTCAATATATACAAATAAAAACAATTTTAGTCGATTTTTATAATGTTTTTTAAATGCGTTTTGCAGCAAATTCGTAAACCTAATTTTATTTGGTGAGTTACTTTTTTTTTAAATTATTCCTTCTACTTTATCAGATGATTTATATTTTAGCTCTTGAATATAATTGTAACCACAATTGAAAGTGAAAGCTCGAGTAATAAAAAATAGTTCTCTAAGAGCCCCTTTTTATTGACTCCAACTCATCCAAATACAGTTTTATAGATAAACACCTATTGTTGATATTGATTTTCATACCTTGTCCAACGAGTAGCACCAAAAACGTCAGTGTTTAAACTTTGATTTATGCATATTTCAAGGGATTTGTTAAGTCGTAATTTACAACAAATGTAATTACTAGAGCTATGAATATAAAATGATACGATCATAGTCTTGTAATCGCATTAAGCGAACTGTAACCTTGAAGAAAAACAACCAAGTAATTTTTTATCTCTTAAACAATGAACAAAAGTCTCGATGTTTGCATATACTTGTACAGGAACTTGAGGTTTGCATTTTTATTAAAATAGCAAACCTAATATGGGTTTTACCCGGAATTACTCCAGGGAAGTGAGTTATTCTTGGCGAGTATTTAGTTATTAACAATTAACTATTTTTACTGAGACAGGGTCAATCCATGCCAAGTGGTCCAAAGGTGGATGCTTGACTATTTTTAATATTTTTTATTTTTCTACCTTTTATACTTCAAAAAAAAATTGTTAAAATCCTTTATAAAAGGTATATAAAAATGCCTCAAACGGGCTATCACAAACACATTGCAAAACGTTTTCGGATTAAACAATCCATCATCAGTGCAAACGGTTGTACATGCTAGTAGCCACCAAAATATATGGGTAAAAACCCTTTAAATGTTATAAATTTGAATTTGTTTTACATTATTAGTATCAGTAGTATAATCAGTTGTTATCAACAGGTCCTCGTAGACACTTCGTCTCAGGACCATTTTACTCATGTAGAGTCATACGCCGCCATGTTACCTATCCAACGGTAACTTAACCATCACAAATTAGAAATACTAATAATGTAAAACAAATTCAAATTTATAACATTTAAAGGGTTTTTACCCATATATTTTGGTGGCTACTAGCATGTACAACCGTTTGCACTGATGATGGATTGTTTAATCCGAAAACGTTTTGCAATGTGTTTGTGATAGCCCGTTTGAGGCATTTTTATATACCTTTTATAAAGGATTTTAACACAATTTTTTTGTGATATATGGTATACAGCCAGCTACAGGAACTTAGTTTCCTCGTGGAATTTTATACTTCAGTCTATAGACAGTACAAAATTGCATTAATTTTATTTTTTTTTTAATTTATTTTGCCGATGTCAGCCATTTTTGTTTCATCGTGTCGGTCATTTTCACGGAAAACATGGCTTCACTCTTTAGCCAATATTTTCACTTAGGTTTGTGCTAAAACAATAAATCAAAAACCAAACAGTATACTTTTCCAAACAGTTTGGTTTTTGATTTATTAGGTATTTGGGGATGTGGGTCACGACTAAACACTAAAAATTTGGTTTTGTTTGAGTTTATTTTAATGTCTATTTCCTCTCCTATCTCGTGAATACGATCAAGCAGAATTTGAAGACCTTCAATATTATCTGATAGAATTACTGTATCGTCTGCATATCTAATCACATTAAGTAGTTCCCCGTTGATTTTTATTCCATTTGGTTGTCTCTCGAGAGCCTTTTTAAATAACTGGTCCGCGTAAATATTGAACAATGTTGGCGACAAAATGCAACCTTGACTGACTCCTCGTTGTATGGGGATTTCATCGGTGTAGTTATCTCCAATTTTTACTATAACAGTTTGATTCCAGTACAAATTTTTAATGACAAGAATATCCTTGTCATCTATTCCGATATTTTTCAATATTTGCATTAATTTTAATTTTATATCAATACATCTTTACTTGTTGTTAATAGGTCGCCTTTCTGACTTCTACATTGTCTTGTGGTTGATTGAATTCTTTTCTGTTGATGTAAACTTTCTTATAGAATGATCTGAATCCTTTTCTCATTTGAGGTTTTCTATATATTTAAGTTTCTAATTTAGGTGGTTTCGTTTTTTTGTGTATCCTCTTTTCTTCTCTTCTCTTTGTCTGGTCATTCTCTACAGTTGTTCTAGTTCGTCGGGTAAGCATCTTCATCATTTTATCATCAAAAATGTAATTTCAAAATTAATTTCACTATATTTAAAGGGTTTTGACCAATGTATTTAGTGGCTTCACTCATGTGTACCTAGAAAAGCACTGATAATGGAATAGGTATTCAAAAAACGTTGTGTGATATAGTCCGATAAGGGTTTTATATTAAAGATTTATTTAAATAAAATTTTTTAGATAACAATTAATTAATATACCGATATTTTTTTCAGATTTACTTCCTGCAAGGCTTTTCGAGCCTTAATGAACGAAGTAAACGACTTGGCAGGTCAGCACGAGTTAGTTGCTGAAGATTTACAAGCGAATGTGATAAAGGAGTTGACGGCGCTAGTGAAAGATTTAAAAGAAGAAAGAAAAGTAAGTAGACAAAATTGTTTCATATTGTATTTACTTAGGTGTGAATAACAATTAATTTTGCCGAGCTCGGGAGTTTTCTTATTTAGATTTTTGCAAATTGTCTACTAAAATTTGGACAGTTCTCATTCTACGAGAGTTGTGCGAGAGTTTTGTATCTCTTTTTGACAAAAAAAAAACAGACTTAACTGACTGAAAAGCACTTTTTGCTTTAAAAAATCTTTGTCCTTGATTTGATCGCGTCCTTGAATCGAGTTTTTGCTACAAATTAAACTAGTACTTATTTATTACAAATTAAACTAACGCGTAGTGTCGAATTTTAGGGAATATATACCGACTCCTATTAAAAATTATAAACATTATATAGATTAACATAAACAATAATTAATTGTAAACATTATAGCGGATGTAATTCTTCTGTGAATGGCGTTATAGCCCAAATTGAGCTTTGTTGTCCTGTAATTTCTGTGTCCTATGTAGATGGTTCCTTTATCTATTTAGGAGTGTTCCTTTGTGGTCTTCTGCCCTACATTTTACCATTTAAAGGTCTTATCGACAGTCTATTGTAACGGTTATTTTACTTTTTATTTACAGTGTTGCTAACAATAATTTTAATTTATTTACAGTCGTTTAAAATTAACACTAAAAACACAATTAATTATAACATTTATTTACTTCACGCTACAAATATATTTATTAGACTAACTCCTACATTTTAATTTCTAATTTTTATATTATGCCTCTATGCCTATGCGCCTATGGAAATCTATCGATGCCGTTAAATCTCGCTTTGAGTCGTTCGACCGGCTTGTAGGCTGCAGTTGAATTTTCAAGTCAAACACGTGCACTTGAATTGTTGATTTGGGTCTATTCTATCATAGGGGTAGCAACGGTGGGCTCAATACTCAATCAATCCACAATATGACCAGCCCATCTGGCCAAGTCTTAAGTCCCTGGAGTCTAGTGAAATCTGCTATATATGGTTCCACCCTTGATTCACATCCATCATATACTATTGGTCTAATTATGGTTTATTCAATTTCCAATGTACGGTTTTGAAGCCATAGCCCATCATTATTTTTTGAATTTTGTTTTTTTTCTGTTACTTCTGCATTGAATTGGACTCCCTAGATATGTGCAGCTCTTCACCACTTTAATTTTATTGTTTGTTCTCTTTGCTCTTGTCCGTATTAACATTTTTTGTCTTTTCTATGTTTATTTCAAGTCCAATAATTTTGGAGGCTCTTTTCAATTGTTGTCCGTCGTGGCTTTTACTCGCCGGATATATTTCGAGGGTATGTTGAAGTTTTTAAGATGGTATATAACTGGCATCCCTTGATTAAATCATAGACGTATTTGAAATTAACGAAAGTGTTATCAAATAAGAAATTTTAATAAATCGCATAAATAAAATTGAAGAAAGTTTTCTATTACAAAATAAATAACAAAGTTTTACAATTTTCTTATCTAGACGTTCAAATCAATATTAATGTGTAGCACATGCCATATATGTAAAACTTATTAAAGGTTGTATAAATATGTAAAGCGAAGTTAATAAGTGTCATTGGCAAAACCATATGGTAAAGATATTATGTTCATTTAAATAAATTAAAGGTGAAACCCTGACATTGGACTGTAAATTAAAATTTTAAGTGGGTATTTAAATGATTTCTGCTAATAGGGTTTTTAACATTCGATGCATATTTTCTAGGTAGATTAGTAGATCTATTAAGGCGGGATCAACGATGGGAATGGGTAGAGAACTGTTGAAAACAAAGCTGTCAAAATCTAGATCGATAGTATTTTGTCAGTTTTTCTGATTAAGTATAACTTTCTCCTTGCATCCTCCTGTTCTTAATGAAGCTACTTTGATAATGTCCTTGTATCTCATTCATCTTCTCAGTAAGTCTATTTTTGATCGTGATTGTCGGTTTTTGTTAGCTATATTGAGTAAAGCTGTACCTCTGTAGTTTTCACAAATTCGTAAAAGAACACGCTATGAAGACGACGAACTGATTCATTCAGACTTGTGTTAACTAATCAATTATCCAACTATACATCGCATGCATTTTTAAATGACAAGAGCAATATATGGACTGAAAGAATGTTCGGTCTAAGTAGTATAAGAAAGAACCGATATTAGAATGAAAAATTTGCCAATATTTTTTTACCAAGCAGAACCTGTACTGAGGCTTATATACTTAAAAGTCACCGGCACGAGATGAAAAATCTCGAAAGAGAAACATACCTATTGTTTAACCCTCTCGAATTAATACATAGCTATATAAGACCGTTCATTTGTAATGTAGGACAGTTATGATTAAGTTTGTACAATAGTTTACTACTGTACATCAAGAAATTGACTGCCAATGTCTTTGTTACTGAATATATCTCCAAGTACAGAGAAATATATCTAAAACTTATCAAAACAGCTAAAAAATGTACTATCAAAATCATCTGGGAAGCTCTAAAGATGTTGCAGGAAAAACTTGGTCCATAATAAACGATCTTCGAAATAAAACTGACACAACTCAAACATTTTCTCTTCCAAGCTCTGAAAATCTAAATGAATACTTCGTTAATGTGAGTAAAAATATATCATTAGCTATTTTGCCACAACATTGCTGTTGTAGCAATGTACAGCAATTGTAGCACAATTGCTACATACAATTAATGACAATGATTTGACGATTTGAAGGTAGTCAATCAACATAATTCCACTTATAGTCCAAAACACTGATGCTTTAACCTTCTTGAACCATTTAAATTACTTACATTTGAATTACTTCAAAACAGAATAACTGGTTTCAGTCCGATCTGCGGTTATCGTTACAGCTCAGGATCTCAATGGTAAACTCAAGGATCACTCTTCGTTTTGATTTAACGTTAGGAATTGACGTTTTTTTTTAAACAAAATTTGGTTTTTGATTCATAATGAAAAAATGCGGCAATAATTTTGTCAAAAGCTTTCTCAGACATAATGTTTTGTTCCAAATATTTAATACTCTTTCAGATAAGATGCACGTGGTCTCAGCACTATCATCCATAACTAGATCATGTAGAGTTTATTTACTTTTGAACGATCACGTTGAAACCATAACCAACATTTTATAATTTATTTAAACTTTTCTACTGTTCCTACTTCTTGCCATTATTTCTTACTGCTTAACGTCTTTTAAGATGACCGTGTAGTCAAATGATATACATTAATTTGTTCTGTTCTTCAATTGATAAAATCTAAGTGCCGAACACACCGTTTGTTCCACTTGTAATAAAAATAAACCATTGCACCGGAATGGTTTTTGGATGAGTCAGCACAAAAAGGTAAATTAAGGTTAACGTTAAAGTCATATCACGTAAAAATGTTTGTTTTCTCAACGTTCAAATCAAACAATACGCCTTTCCCTGATATTTAACCCAGATAAAACTGTTTAACAATGGTAGAAGTAATTTGTTCAATGATCATTAAAAAAGTAGGTAATTAAACTATAATACAAATGGCATCAGGCGAAGGGGATTTTAAAACAGCATGTGACAGCACAACTAACATCTCGATTCGTACCTTTTTATCCGAACAACGAAGGAAAGGAAAAAGACGATGGATGGATACCAGGGACGGACGACAAGTTCTGTGCACAGTCCACAAGGCTGTGGGATAACGCAGACTATAGAAATCTTCGTTACGATTTTATAGACCCGTCTTATAATCAAAAGTTATATGGAACTATAAAAAATCATCATCATCATCAGTGGCATTACAGCTCGTTATGAGCCAAAATCTTCTTCAGAACAATCTTCCATCCGCCCCTGTCTCTGGCAACGACTTCTCTAATTGCTTCTTCAGTTCCTTTAAAATGATTCGCTCATCTGTTTAGTATCTGTTCTTTGTCACTAATTATGGAACCATCTCTATCTTTACATGCTGTTATTCTGGGTTTGAATTCTTTTCTGCAGCTGTTTATCTTTTCTATTATGGTGGTTAACAATCTCGTTTAGAGCACTTTCGTATGGCTCTTTCTTTTTCCTTCTAACCGTCATTTTTTCTTCTCGTCTAAGTTTTTTATAGTCTTCCAGGTTTGATCTCGTTCTGCGCTGCTGAAGTCTCTTGTATGCTTCATTTTTCTGTTGGTTAATGGATCTACATTCTTTGTTAAACCAATCTTCGTTTATTTTAGCCTGTTTAGGTTTTAAAAAGCCTTTAGCCGCTGTATGGATAGCTTCGTTGCATTTTTTCCAGTGTTCTTCTATACTTAAATTTTCGTCGATTCTTGTCAGCTCTTCATTTAAAATTTTCCTGTAGTTATCCCTAGCATCTTCAGATTTTAGCACATCATTATTATATTTTGTAGATTTTGTGCTCTGGCCATTCTTAGCGTTTGATACACGAGCCCTGAGTTTTGTCCTTACAAGGTAGTGGTCAGAGTCTATATTAACACCATATAAAATACCCAAACAGATTATCCAAACAAGTTATTCACAATCACAATCCATATCGTTCTCAAATCAAAAATAACCCATGCTATCAGTCAAATTCAGTTTGATTTATGCACCAGAGTTATGAAAAATTGAAGGATTCATATGCATAAATACAATTGATGAAAATGTAATAATAAAACAAATACTAAATCACAAACTGAAAGGTAAAAAGACGTCTAGAACGACCCTTGGAAAGTTGAAGTGAAGTTTGATGATTAAACCATGATATATAGAAAAATAATCTTATTTTTGGGATTCTAATTTATGGTAAATATTTTTTGATGAACCATTGAACAGTATTAAGTTAAAAAATAATTAAGAGCAAACGCAATGTATCAAGTATACCAAAAAATACCAGTTTTTTTTCTTTGTCCTATTAAATATTTGTCAGTGCTCGTAAATTGGTCATTTCTGAAAAATAAATGACTACATATTTGAAGAGAGAGTATCAAATGTTCGATCCTACATATGGGAGCTCTAGTGAACTAGATTTTTTTATTAATTTTCAATAAGATATTAAAACCGTA